AATTTATCTATAGTTATATCCTTCCTCAACAACTGGAATAAGTATTTAATATTTAAATCCATGCTCATTTTTAAGCTGAAAATTAGAGACCATTATTTCTCTAATATTACAGCTACTAGAGTATATGCTTTCAGAGACTGAAACTGTTAGTATTGAAAATATCCTGCTTGTTATTCATGGAATGTTTCTCAAAAAGGAAGCATGAATGATATTTTATTGGCAGCAAACGCCCTTTGTTTGTTATGAGAGAATGTTACAGCCCCACTGGGCTGTCTCCATGTTTAATAGACCATAAAATTGAAATTCCCACCCTGACCTCTAAAGAGATGAGATGAGTCAGAAAGTGACTCATTCTCTAATCAGTTGGAAGAACAACCTTTACTGTCATTTACCTTGGACTGGGTAGAAGTAAAGAGATTTTGTTTCTGAAGCACTGAAATGATTACAGCAAAGCCTGGTGGAGGAAGGGAGGCTACTTGTTAAAATGAGCTGAGCCCTCCCTGACATTTTCTCAAACCTTCACATTGCAACCAGTTGGCTGCTTCTATATGTTCGGGCTTAAAACTAATTCTATAGAAACAAAATGAAACAAACCTTGACACAGCCAGTTCATTCAGTTTGCTATCTTAATAAGATCAATAAAATTCCAGAGGATTATGTTTGCTGAGATAGTTGGAAAAAACAGTTATAATGATTGCTTTTCTTAATTAACACCCAATTGAGCCCAAAGATAAAAGAGACATGAGAGAAAAATAAAAATAAATTACATCTAATGTGATATTAAGGGGCTAATCTTACAAATTCTAGTCACATTAAGATACCACAAACTGCTGTGTCCATGTAGCTATCTTTGTCCTTTTAAGGTGGGAAGATCCTGATATTTTTGGTGAATTGTAATGACTATTGAAATAGATAAAAGATAACTGAAATATGGCCATGCGCTAGTGGTTCATGCCTGTAATCCTAGCTATTCAGAAGGTTGAGATCTGATGATCACAGTCTAAAGCCAGCCTGGACCTGAAAGTCCATGAGACTCTTTCATCCAATTAATCACCAAAAAGCCAGAAGTGGAGCTGCAGCTCAAGTGGTTGAGTGTTAGCCTTGAGCGAAAAAGCTCATGGATAGTGTATAGCCCCTGAGTTCAAGCCCCAGGACTGGTGTGCATGTGCATACACTGCGCGCGCGCGCGCGCGCGCACACACACACACACACACACACACATGTTCTAACAATTCTAGAAAAATCTTGAGTTAAGTGTTGGCAGTTCTAGGTGCTTGAGATAAGGGGATACCAAGGCCTATTTCTCTGTGGCATGGGGACTTGAAATGTACCTCATCCCATATGATGATGATGATGATGATAATGATGATGATGATGATGATGATGATGATGATAATGTACACCTACACATGCCACTTTGGGTGACTTTTAGTCACTGAGCTCTATTATTCTTCTTGATCTTGTATTATTCTGTGTAAACTCTTCTGTATTGCAGAAGTCAACAAACTTTCTTTACAAATAAGATACCATACTGAATAATTTAAGTTTTGTTGGCCATGTGGTCTACTGTTCCAACTGCTCAACTTTGAGGTTGCAACACATAGGTAATCACACACAACAAATAGCAACTGAGCATGACTATCTTCCAATAAAATTTCACTTGTGAACACTGAAGTTTGAACATCATGTGATTTTTCATATGTCATGAAATATTATTTTGACATTTTAAAATCACTTAAAAATGGTGAATTAATGATATATGAGTTGTACAAAATAGCAATGGAGTGATTTTGGCCCATAGAGCATGTTCCTACCTGTGCCTCCTTGTACTTCTAAATCTCCTTTATTTATCTTCTTACAACACGCAGAAGTCTTTTCTGGTTGACCAACACACTTCTGTGTTTAATCATATTTATTTTCTATTGTCATCTTAACAAGTTATTGAAAATTATCAACTTAAAACAATGCAAGGTTATTATCTCATAATTCCATAGCTTAGAGATCTGGGTTGGCTTACTTTTTTTCTCTACTCCAGATTCTTCAAAGCTGAAAGCAAAGTGTTGGCTGTTTGAGTTGGAAAGAATTGACTTCCAAGCTCATTCTTGTAGACATGATCCAGTTCCTTATGTATGTAGAAATGAGGCCTTCACTTTCTTGTTAGTTGTAGAGTTGCCTTTAACTTGTAGAAACTTCTGACTCTGCTCCCTGCCTCTAGATCTCTACATCTCAGAGCCTTCTGAGCATATCAAGTATGTTTTTGAAATCTGACTTCATTTTCTGCAGTGTCTAGTCTCACCCTTCTTTCCTCTGTTTTTAAAGGCTTATGTGATTACTTTGGACCCATTTGAATAAGGCAGGATAAACTTGCTGCTTTAAAGTCAGATAATTAGTACCTTAATTCTATCTGTTCAATCTCATTATATCTGTGTCTAGATCTGTGTTTGATTGATAATAATTTTGTGAGAGCATCTTTAGAAATTAGATTACCACAATTATCACTTGCATTTCCAACATAAACAGTGACTTGGAAGTCTATAGATTACTGGATGTGTACCCAAAAATAATTTAACCTATTCAAGCTTTTTGTGTGGTAGGTTAAATCATAGATATGGAACATACTATAACATATTTTATGTGGTTATGGAGCAAAGCCAACATCTATGCTTCTCAATAGGTGATCTGGTCACTTGGGAGTGAATCTGGGATGTATGTACTATGCCCTTATCTTTCTTTATGCTTTCTCAAAGGTTAGTTTTTTTTACTCTCTTTCCCATTAGTTGAAACTGTGTTTCATATATTACTTGCTTTTGTCTATTATATTAAGAAACAAACTTTCAGTTACTGTTTGACATACTTTTCTGTTGTAATTTTTTTATTTTGAAGAACCACTTGTTAATTTATTAGGATAATCAGTTGCCAAAATCTTGTGGATATAATACTCTGGAAATACTAGAAACCTTTTATTTATTTTTATTTTTTTAATTTTATTTTTTTTATTTTCTTTAATTTTATTTTATTTTATTTGTGAACATTCTGTACAGAGGGGTTACAATAATACGTACATTTCTTACCAAGCATTACAGCCTCCTCCTTTGGTTTACCCTTCACATCTCTTCCCAGCCTCCCCCCTCCCCCGCAATCACAATCCTTCTCCTTCCCCCCCTTCTCCCCCCCCCCGCACCGACGTTGTGTTATTTGATTTTTAATTGCTATTCTTCAAACACCATCACAAACTTAGTAGAAGTCCTTGCTATTCCTGATACTTAGTGACTCAAGTAGCAGTAACTTTTTTTAATCCCTCATCACAGTGAAAACCTGATTTATCTCTTCATCATTTCCTATCCTTTCTACTTCAGTAACATCCTAATTGGACTTCTTGTTCCCGCTTTTACCTTTTCCATATATTTCTCCAAAGATTATATCATCCAATCAGAACTTTAGAGTAAGTTCTCTGTTGCCTCCAAAATGACTTTTCACTTCCTGAGAATGGCATTTGAAGATTTTCATTACATGACCCAATCCAATCTTCCGATCTCATTTCCCACTACAGTCTAACATTAACTCTTTACCACAGTTACACAGACCTAAATTCACCATTGAAATGATATTTAGTTAGAAATATGTTTCAACTACTGAATGACTTTCATTGTTGTTAACATCTTCGTGGTAAACCTGCAAGCTAAGCAGCAAGCAACTAATTCCAGGTTGAACTCCAGGTACCCTAAGTTGTTCCACAAATATTTGCTGAGTATAGTGATAAGTACTATTCCTACAGATGGCAAACAACACAGTAAAGTCTCTGCCATCATGTTTGTGATAGTAACAAGATTGTCAAGATATGAAAAGAAGGATAACTTAACTAATGTAGGAATAATCATTCATTTAAAAAGATTACTTGAAGAATGGACTGACACAATCAATGCATTATATATACATGCATGAAAATAATACTGTGAGTGTTTGCTTCAGCAGCACATATACTAAAATTGGAACGATACAGAGAAGATTAGCATGGCCCTTGCCCATGTAATTGTAACCCTTTTGTACAGTATTTTCACAATAAAAAAGAAAATGCTACTGTGAATACACCAATTATATAATTAATACATGTTAAAATTATAATTAAAAAATTTAAACTTATCTGAAAGCACAAGAGACTCGTAGGTTCTTGGAGAAAAATGAATAAGATAGAGAACAGCTCTCAGGGAACTTATAGCCCAGTACACATGAGAAAATCTGACCAGAAGTAACTCTAAAGTTAAAATTGTTATAGGTCATAGAAGTGCAAATAAAGAAGAGTAATTCTAGAGATTTCAGAAAGGGAATACGATATGATTTAATATAATGATTGCAGGCTGTGGTTAAAAGACGGAGAGGATCCTTTCCCTTCTTTAATATTCAAAATCCAGGTCAGGTATTCTATCACCTGCAGTTTGAATTTGTCTTCTTCTCTGTATTAGTATTATTATTGCCCTAGTATTTCCTTTCTTCTGGAACATTGTAATGGCCAGGCTATCTCTTTGCCCCATTCTCCACTAGTCCAGTGCTCATATCACATCAAGGAATCTTTCTAAAATAGAGTCCACTTATGGCCTCTGTGATATTCAGAAATCTCATTTCATTGTTCTGACTGGTGATCTTTTGACCACAAAGATAGTGGTTAAAAACAAGCCTTAGGTTCAACTATTAAAGATGGGATTCTGGCTTTACTACTTACCAGCTGTGTGATATGAGACATTTTCTTACATGCTCAATTTCCTCGTCTCTAAAATGGTATAATGATTTTTATTAAAGTGGTTATCTTGGTAAAAAATAAAGTATGAAGAGTAATTTCCAAGTATATAGAGATATTACATAGTGGGTTTAATTAATACAGTAGTGGCCACTATGATCATAAAATGCTCTCCAGAGCTTGAGGTCAATTCTTTAAACAATTGGTTATTTTTTGTTAATTATACACATAACTGAATTTTAATATGGCCTCCTTTTCCCATGAGTAGGCAGCTAAGAATTATAACTGGAGAATGGTTTTTTGAAGAAAAGGCAAAGCGTTTCAAGCAAGTCAATGTTCTGGGCACTGATGTTGTCCGACAGTCCATCTTAAGAAGAAGCCCAGGTAACTGCTATAATTATTTGGGTTCAAAACTTTCATCTTCACTTTAGTGGGCTAAATAACTTCCTGGTGTATTTTTTTTACCAAATGAGCACAGTTGGACTTTCTAATCCCTTTATATCTTCCCACAATTCAGTAGCATGATATCTAAATCTGTACTTAACACAAATTAAGACTGTTCAGTAAAAATTGTCATATTCATTTCTCATATATCTGACACTGAGATTTTCAAAGAAATCATTTATCTTCATCACAGATAAGTCTTTTCCTGAATTTATTTCTAATATTTGACTAAATAAGCAGAATCAAGTCCTTAAAATGAGTAAAAGGAATATAAAATAATTCTCTTTGGGGGGTAGGCACCTCTAGAAGAGGGGAGGATGAAAGGAGATGTTGTAGAAGAGGTACTATAATTGAAGTACTCTATGCACACATATGACAATAGAACAGTATACCTTGTTGAAGTTGTTTCAAAAAGAGGAAGTAGGATAAGGGAGAGTAATAGAGGGGAGAATTTGATAGTGATATCTTGTATGCATATACAAAGATGTCACAAACTCCTTTGTACAATTAATATGCAAGCAGTTCTTGAGTTTTCAAGATGTTTTATTTCAAAGTTCTTTTAAGTGTCACTTTTTCTTATCTTTGTTTCTCAACCAAGCATTGGCATTGTGCAATGCATCCCTATCTGTGAATTAGGAGTTCTGGGAAATTCAATGACTAGGTTGATTTCATGGCAGAAATGCTTAATCACCTAAAATTCATAGGACAACACATTGGTCAATGAAGGATTATACTGGCACCAAACATAACATCCAGCTTGAGAATGCTTTTCAGTGAACATAAAGTGCAATTTAATTGGTCAATGTGGAATGAAACTTGTGTTTGGGAGTAACTTTCTTATGCAGAATATAAGAAAGACAGAGGAGACATCATTTGGCCTGTGTCTAGACTATTTCATCTTTCATAGACCAATCAGTGGCCTTGTTTCTCAGAATCTGGCAAGTAGATCTGAGAGTCTTAAAACTGATTCTCATTCTGCTTCTAGATGTAGTACTCACAAGTAAGGCTCTTTGCAGATGGGTAACATCAAATCTGATGCCCCATATGGAAGAGTAGAGTTATAATAATATAGTCAGTGGTGGCCACTTCCTCCACCCAAACTTCAGTACCCTCCAGTGTGTGAAATGTCCCTCAGATCACAAGATATGTGCACAAATGCCTATTCTCCCAAGAAGTCTGGTTTATGTACTCAGAAATCAACGTTATCATTTCTATAATCTCATGCTGCACGTAGTGATACGATCTGCAATCTTATCATACAGGAGATCGAGGCAGAAGGATCTAATGTTCAAAGGCAATGTTAGTCTTGTACGTTATTTTTCTATCAGCCAGAGCTACATTGTGAGAGTTTGTCTCAAAAACCCAAGTCAGAAGAACAATAATCTTACATTTAATCTCAGTCTTTAGAGATTTGGAGTTCTCTAAAACATGGAATATGTAGAGGGATGATATATTTGTTCCTCTATTGCAGTCTCACTTGGAAATTACGCTGATCTTCTTTAATCATTTGGAGAACATTCAACAAATTAGATATAACAGTACCTGAAATAGATGGGATGGGAATATCATTGCTAATTATCATAGTAATCCAGGAAAATGAAGACAAAATAGAAAATTGCTTTGTTTCTGATTGATTTGTATGAAAATTTGTCTTCTATTTTAATGAGGAGCAGAGGAAATACAAAGCCAAGAGCAATCCCGACAGAATGCAGAAAAGTCTGACACTTCATCTATTGGACAGAAGGCCAGCCATGATGGGCCAAAGAGAAAGGGGTAAGACATATTTTGTGCAGGGGAATTATTAATCTTTATTCCAGAAACCTCTGAAATAAATATTCCTTGGTATTTAAAGTCTGGTGTCACTTCCAACTTTTTGGTGGTTACTTGGAAATAAGAGTCTAACAGAGTTTCCTGCCCAGGATGTTTTCAAACCATGATTGTGTGTGTCTGTGTTTATGTGTGTGTGTGTGTGTGTGTTTGTGTGTGTGCATGCACACATGTACACATGTGCACATGCTAGACATAGGGCTTCAACTCAGGGCCTGCAAACTGTCCCTGAGCTTCTTTTGCTCGAGGCTAGTGCTCTACCACTTGAGCCACACTGCTACTTCCAGCTTTTTTGAAGTAGTTTATTGGCAATAAGAGTCTCACAGACTTTTCTGCCTAGGCTGGTTTCAATTGCAATCCTTGGATCTCAACCTTCTGAGTAGGATTACAGGTATGAGCAACCAGCATCCAGCCAAACCTTGATTCTTAAATCCCAGCCTCTGGATTATTTAGGATTACAGGCATATGCCACTGGCACTGGGCTTCATCCATGTACTCTTAAGCTTAAGTGTTATATCACCTATCTAAAACCCAGGAAAAAAATAATCACATTTGACCACCTCAACTTAATTCAGAAAGCAAATACATGTATAACGTACTAAGCATAGTAATGCAACATGATATAAAGGAGACCACTATGGAAAGAATCACTAGAAACTGAGGGCAAGAATGTCCCATCAAGGCAGAATAGTATTCCCCAAAATGCAGAGAATATTCAACACACAAATTGCTTCTTCACAGCACTTCAGAGACTGCACTCTGTTACTGATACAGCTCTTGGCCAAGTTTTGTGGCCAAGGCAGTAAGATTCTAATAGGTACCAGTTCATATTATGCCTTTTTCAAAGTAGTGTGTCATTCTCTCAGCAGAAGCCTACATGAAATTCTGACAACACCTGTGCCTTAACTAGGCTCTGAAAGAAGTCTGGACTTTTTTTTAAAATCCTGAACTGTGGGTGGGAATGAACTCTAAATGTCATGTAACTCAAGCTCTTATGACTAACAACTTCTTCATTAATTAACAGATATGAATGAAGAAAGGATGAGTTAGAGTCTCCTAAGTATCTTATCCTAGATATTAATCTTCCTATCACTTGAAATCCATTGACTTTTCCTCAGAATCCTCACTCTGACCTCCCTTTTCCTCTAATCAATACACATATTTAATTGTGAGTTCTTTCAGTGTTAGACTGGTGGCTCATTTACTTTTGTGTTAACAGCATCAGTTATAGTGCAATTGATGACTTTAAAACAACTCTTTTAAAAAAATCCATGGCTCTTGATAAGTAGCTGACTGATAAGTAGTAGCTTAATAAGTATCTCAGAGCCCACAAATGCAAATAGGATCTATCATTTGCAGAGACCAACTCAGGTATCATAGAGTAGGCTACTGGGCTAAGGAAACCATGGAGTTAGGAGACAATAACTAATAGCAAATGCAATGCATTGTACAAATTCTGAACCCTTCAAACCATCATAGAACTAGGCTAAGCCATCCTGGAACTAAAACTGGCATTTATAGTTTTCAGTCTTCAAGGGATATAGCTATGGAAAGCTTCTGTAAATATGGCAGGGTGTTTATCACAAGAGATGTCATGAGGTAATAAATAACTAAATATTAAATGAATAGCTAGCTGATAAATGTTTGGGGTGATAGGAATCAGCAAGAACACCATCAGAAGGTAAGTAGGGCACGAGGAGGTTGATGGGATTCAGGATGTCTAAAGAGAAAAAGAGTTGTCTCCCTGAAGAGGAGTTACCTTAAGTGGAAATGCAGGCATGGGGACACGAGGTTCTCAGTGCAGCACAGGCTGACATTATGTTAAGTGCCATTCTCACCAAAAATGTAATTTTCCAGTAGAGTGAAGCTTCTGACACTTTGGCAATGACATTCTTCTTTGAAGTAAATACAACTTAACAGATTCTATTAAGATTCTCCCAGTACCTTTGGAATCTAGCTTTTATATTTTTTTGTCTAGAAAATTGGCTGCCCACAAAACAAATGAACTGGTCTCTTCCAATGTTATCCCCAAAAGAATACAGCTTTGAGGTTGTATTATTATTAAAGTGTACTTGGAAACAGCCTTGTTTGGGTGACTCAGTACCCTTGAATTTAGATTCCTTAGAAGCTGTTGTTTGAGTCACATTTGTACAACTACTTACAGATAATTACCAAAATATTAAAATAGTTTTAAAACATGTCCTATTGTTTAAGTTCCAAAAAATATAGTGAAATGGGTGTGGACATGCAGGCCTATAATCCCAGCACTTTGGAGACCAGTATACAACTATCATGAGATCAGGGCTTTATTAGAGAGTTCTAAGCCAGCCTAGGATACATAAAGAGACTGTTTAAAAAAACAGTTAAAACACACTAATAAGTTAGGAGATGGAAATGTAATTAGATTTCATCTGACACTCTGCTTCATTACCACAGTGAGAAATGTCATGGAAGATATAGAAAGGATTTTCATCATAAAAGTTCAGTCATTCATTCCACAAGAATTAATTGGGTTCTGGTATATCATCCTAGGACCCAGAAAGTGGTAGTGAATGAGAAAGACAATCACTGTTTTCATAGAGCTACACTATAACAAGCTGCTACTCAGTTCATCCCAGAGCATTATTCCCTCGCCGAGCAAGATAAGTGCAAGCTCCCCATTCACAGCATCCCTTCAAATAAACCCAGCCCAAGAGATACTTCTTCTTCCTCAGGTAGTAGTGGTGAGTTCCCAAAGTAGGTGGTCTTTGCTAAGCAAGGACACAGACCTTGCTTACCAGAAAGCCACATAGTCCTGGGAAATTTTGTAACCTCCCCCATTACCACCCTTGACACTGTCACTGAGAACTACCCAGAACCCCTCAATCCCAATGCTCCTGAGTCAAAGAATCATTTATTTCTGTAAATACTAAAAATTGAACTTCTTCATTGAGTTCCAGTGTCAGGGATCAAACATTAGGGCATTGTGAGTGCTAAACATGCTCTCTATCAGTGAGTTATAATGTCATTCAAAATTGTGAGAGGCTATTATTATTATTAAGTAGTTGTACAAAGGGGTTATAATCCCATAAGTTATAAATATAATGCTTCTTGGTCAATGACAACCTTTCCTTCATTCTCCCCCATTTTCCCCTCCCATCCCTATCCTCAAGTTGCATAGTTCATTGTTTACATAATGTACTTTGAATATAATGACTATATCTGATCATCCTTCCTCCTTCCATTTCTATTCCTTTCCTTTGTCCACCCCTCAAAAAACATGTTTCCACTTTCTGTGTTTTGATAAACAGTACATTAGTTGTTCAGAAGAATTAAGCTTTTGAATTTTCCCACTAAATATACCCTCCTCTAGTCAATTTGTTTGTGTGCAATTGCATTTTGCCTTGTATATGTTATGATGGATAGTTGTAGTTTAGATCTAGCTTCCAAATATAAGATAAAACGTGCTGTTTGTCTCTCTGAGCCTGGCTTACTTCACTTAACATGATTTGTTCTAAGTCCATCCATTTCCCTGCAAATGACATAATGTTATTCTTTGTAATGGATGAGTAAAATTCCATTGTGTGTATGTACCACATTTTCTTGATCCACTCATTCATTGTAATATATCTGGGATGTTTCCATAACTTGGCTATTGTGAATAGTATAGCAATGAACATGGATGTGCAAGTATCTTTACCATATCCTGACTTGTAGTGCTCTGGGTAAATGCCCAAGAGAGGTATGGCTAGATCATAGAGTCGTTCTATGTTTAGTTTTGTTAGGAATCTCCAAACTGCCTTCCAGAGTGGTTGTACTAATTTACATTCCTACCAAAAAAAAAATAGGATTTCTTTCCCCACCCGCCCCCAACATCCCCTCTAGCATTTGTTGTTGTTCAAATTCTTGATGTTGCCCAGTCTAACTGGGTTCAGATGGAATCTCAGTGTTGTTTAATTTACATTTCCCTTATGGCTAGGGATGTGGAACTGTTCCTCATATTTTTATTGATCGTTCTTCTTCTGAGATGTCTCTACTTAGCTTCTTTGCCCATTTATTGATCAGGATATTAATTGATGGGGTAGTTTCTTGAGTTCCTTGTCAGATGTATATCTGGTAAAGATCTTCTCCCAATCTGTTTGTTGTCTTTCTAGTTTAGTAACTATGTCCTTTGCTGTTCATAAACATTTTAGTTTGATATGATCCTATTTGTCAAGTTTCCCATTTGCTGTGCCCCTGGGACTCTCTTCTGAAAATTCCCACCTATGCTGATAAGTTCTAATATTTCTCCTACTCCATCTTGTAGTAGTTTCAAATTGTGGATTTTGGTTTTGTGTGTGTGTGTGTGTGTGTGTGTGTGTGTGTGTGTGTGTGTGTGTGTGTG